GCTAAGGGTTTTGATGGTGGCTTCATGCATAGAGTTATGCAGATGGTCTCGGGGGGGGCCATACTGCGATTTTAGTCAATGGGAAAACTAGCAATTTTTTTAGGAATCCTCATGCAGGGTGATCCCGCTTCTCCTATCCTCTTCAACTTCGTTGCGGATGCACTCTCCAACATCCTGTCCAGAGCTGTGTCGGCTGGACACATCTCCCCTGTTAGCTCCCATCTTATTCCGGAGGGTGTCACCTACCTCCAATACGCTGACCATATGATTATCATGGTGGAACTCAGTGACGCTTGCTTATCCCACCTCAAGTTTCTTCTACTTTGCTTTGAGGCTCTGTCGGGGCTTAAGATTAACTTTGCAAAAAGTGAGGTGATCGTCACTGGGGTGACGGAGGCTGAGGCATTGCGAGTCGCTCAATTACTAAATTGCTCACTATGCTCCTTCCCTCTCAAATATCTTGGGCTTCCTATCTCATGTGACAAATTATTGGCTAAGGATTTCACACCTACAGTGGCTAAAGTGGGTAATCGTGTCATGTCGTGGAGGGGCAGATATAATACTTAGGCATGCAAGGTGGCCCTTATAAACGTGTGCCTTTCCTCCCTCCCTATGTTCTTGATGGGGTTTTACCTTCTTACTAATGGTACTCATGCTGGGTTTGATAAGCACAAGGGTGCTTTCTACTGGAATGTTGCTGACAACAAGCGTAGATATAGAATGGTCAAATGGGATCACATATGTCGACCCAAGAGCCATGGGGGGCTGGGCATTATTAACACCTTGGTAATGAACAAGTGTTTGATCATTAAATGGTAGTGGAAGATCATGTCTATCTCGGACAAGCCCCTCTGGTATAACATCCTTAAGGCCAAATATTTCCCTACGTCTAGTCCTATGTTTGCCCCCGCCGTAGGCGCGTCTCAATTCTGGAAAGATCTTGTTAAGCTTCGGCCAGTGTTTCAAGGCCTTGTCAAGTTTGTGGTCCGTAATGGTAGATCCACCAGGTTCTGGCTAGACTGGTGGTGTGGTCCAGCCACGTTAGTTGTCTCTTTTCCAGTTCTTTTTTCTTATTGCCCTAATCCCGAGATCTCGGTCTCTGAGCTCTCTGACAACAATTGGGACCTTGAGCTACGTCGTTCTCTGTCTCCTGAAGAGTTGGTTGACTGGCAGCGTCTTGTTGCCCTCTTCCCTGTGCTCTTGGAGGAGGACTCGGTGGACTGGCCCCACTTCGCGTCTGGGCATTTTTCTGTGAAGTCGTTGTATGGAAAACTCATATCTGGATCGACCACTTCCAAATTTAAGTGGATTTGGAGGGCTCGCGTACCTCCTAAAGTTAAGTTCTTCTTGTGGCAAGCCCTCCGTGGGCGCCTTCCGGCGGCTGACCAGATTCGCAAGCGTAATGGCCCGGGATCTGATCAATGTGCCCTATGTGACCAGAGAGAGGACACAACTCACATCTTCTTCAACTATGTCTTGGCTAAGCTCTTTTGGAGTTGTATCAGATCTTGGCTTCATGTCTCCTGGAGGCCTGCTTCCTTCTCAAAACTTCGTCTTTTGGCTTCTAACCTGGTTGGGGCTCAGAGGAGAATGTTGTGGGTGGGATTTGCAGCGATGTGCTAGACCCTTTGGACGATTAGGAACAAGTTTACCATTGAACACATTTTTCCTGCTAAACTTGTTGATTGCTTAATTAAAACTTGCATATTCCTGCAGCAGTGGAGATTATTGACTAAGGAGGAGGATCGGGACACTTTTGATGATATGGCTACCAGGATTCGGGGTACAGCTACCTCCCTTCCTCGAGTTCAGGCCGGCGGTTAGGAGTTGATGGCCCTACTATCATCGTTCCTGAGTCTCCGGCCTGCGTGTCGCGTACTGGCCTGGAAGCCATGTACGTTAAATTCTATCTGCCATGTTTGGCATTGAACTTTGCAGTTGGTATATCGTTCCGTTTGGCGTGGCTACGTTGTTAACTTTGGTTGTTGGCTTTATTTATAAAGTCGGGCTCTGGCCTTTTCTCGAAAAATAAATTAGTTCATCTTTGAGTTCATTATCCCTTATTATCCCTTTTTCTGTAACAATCCCCTTGCATCACTTTCTGATGTAGCCATGATTAATTGCGTAGGTTTATCAAGTTGAGTTCTTATTATTTTGCAGCAGTCATTGTTAAGACATGTGCTCTTCAGAGGTACTCATGCCTTTGCTACTTTCGTGGATGCTTCCTCTACTTTGTAAGTGCAAAACTATGATCTTGGTGTGAATTATTCAACCATTTTAGTATCTGGACCATGCCAACAGTATATGCTCTGTTTTACAATCGCTAGTTGGTCCATGTGTTTCTTGGTTAGTTCTCTGAAATTTATTTTTGATTGCCAACTAGCATGTTTAATGTACCCTAGCGACCATTATTTAATTTGACCGTAGAAGAAACATTTTGTTGTATTATACATATGCTCTTATCCATTTCATTATTGTAGTATGGTGTATTGCATTTTCAGACTTTTGTGTGTAGTGCATTTTTATACTTTATGGGCGAACTGATTAAGTCACTCTTCTTTATGTTTTAAGACTAATTACATTGCAATTTAATTGTAGGCGATGCTTCAACTTATCGAAGGCGGCAAATGCACAACCCATTAGCTCCTATGTTTCTGCTATAGCTAACCTTTTGCTTTAGTTGTAATGGTGCAGTCCTAAAAATTGAGTATCTGACTGAACAATGATGGAGAATATTAGGTGTAATGACTGCCTTATTTTGGCACACGAAAATGAATTAGTTAACACTTGATCGCAGTGAAATACATCTGGTGAAGTGATGGAATATCAGTTGTATTATTATTTTTGAAATTTATGTTCTGAATTCTGATTTTTGTATATGCGTATGTGTTTTTTTTCAAAACTATTTATGTAATTTTATGTGTGATCTAATGTGTACTATTAGTATCTGTATGTTACACGTGGGGGATTTTCCTCCCTCCCTTTGTTGCCATTTGGGCACCAGTGGCAGCGGGGACATCTACCCCCTGGTGGGAGGGATCCCATGCACACGGGAAAAATCCCCACTGGGGCTAGGCGCCCAGGTTTCTATTTCCCTGGTAACCAAATGAGGCCTTGGGGTTACAACGGTATATAAATACTCTACTAGTACGTTAGCTTGCGATTTACCTGGACATATTAATATGATTATGTAAATAAATGTTTATCACATCCTACCCATCATATATATTATATTTTTATGAAAAGCTTGTGGTAGGTAAATTAAAGTAGAATTAGTTCAGAAAATAAGTAAATTAAGAAGATTGATTATCATACAGAAAAGATTGGACCAAGGGGTACTGCGAAGAAAATAAAACATGGAGCATTGCATTCTTTTTAAAGTATATAATATAAGATAGAAGTAGATAGATGGAAGCCCATATTAGGCTATCGGAAATATTAACGCCCACACGTGTGGGCGTTTGCACATCGCCCACACGCCTCCATCACCACTCATTTTGCCACGTATGAATAGATGACATCAACAGATTTTTTTTTGGTTTTCAGCTTAAAAATGTTGTATCTCCTAAATAAAAAAGCGACTTAAAAATCCGTTTTCACCATTAAATCCGTCTCGACGAGATCTTCAAAACTAGACCCCATGTTGATATGTTTCGACGAATAATTTTTTTTTTGCCAGAAGTTGCCACGATGTTTACACTGCAGTTGCCATAGGGCTTAAACTAAAGTTGCCATGTGGCAATTTTAGTTTGTAGATCATGGCAATTTTAGTATTTTGATGATGGCAACTCCAGTACTTTGACCATGAAAATTATTTTTTGTATGAACCATGGCAATTTTACGTGCATGTATCATGGCAATTTTAGTTTATGGTTCATGGCAAGTCTAGTTTCTTAATTCCCCATTTTATAAATGTCAAATTTTACTTTTAAATGTAGAAGAAAATAGCTGAAACATATCATGGCAACTTCAGTGTAAACATCATGGCAATTCATATGTAATAGACATGGCAACTTTTAATCTAAAAAAAATTCATCAAAACATATCAACATGGGATCTAGTTTCGAAGATCTCATCGCGAGGGATTTAATGGTGAAAACAGATTTTCAATCGGTTTTTCGTTTAAGAGAAAACATTTTGAAAACTGAAAATCCAAAAAGATTCCTGCATCCATGCATGCGATGACGTGGCAATCTGTTTACGTATGGTGCGTCTCTCTTCCTGCCACACGTGTGGCAGTTAGCGCGATCCTAGGCTATTTACACAAAGGAATGGAAAAAATCGCGGAAACAAGATGGGATTATTTAGCTACTATGTTTACAGAAGCAATAACAGTAAATGCACCTGAATTATTGAAGAATATTCAAATACCACAAAGAGTCAGCTATATTAGGGTAATTATGTTAGAATTAAGCCGGATAGCTTCTCACTTGCTATGGCTTGGACCTTTTATGGCGGATCTCAGTGCACAAACTCCTTTTTTCTATATTTTTAGAGAGAGAGAATTTATTTTTAGAGAGAGAGAATTAATATATGATCTATTTGAAGCTGCTACAGGTATGCGAATGGTTCGCATCGGAGGAGTAGCCGCCGATCTACCTTATGGGTGGATCGGTAAATGTTTAGATTTCTGTGATTATTTTTTACACAGAGTTGTTGAATATCAACAACTTATTACACATAATCCAATTTTTTTAGAGCGAGTTGAAGGCGTCTATTCTGCGTCATATGATGAGCCGCATGGGCACCGAATTGAATTTTCGATATGGATAGAGAAGATAACAATGAAGATAAGAGACCACTAAAACATGCCACCCCACATAACTGACAACTCAGTTGATTTCTGTTGCGTTATCCTATAGACATTAAGATAATGTAACTTCACTAATTAGAAAATACGAGAAGAGTAGACAGAACAGGTTCCAAGCACACGATTTTTGCCGCACTGCATCCATCCAACCAGCACCATCATGGCCAGGGTAGACGGAACTTATACATGTTCATCCCAGATTTCTTCTTTTCCTGAAAATGCAACATCAAAGTGAGCTCCCCATATCATTGTTTTTTCAGAGAAGTTGCAACACAAATGTCAATCGCATGATAATATTGACAATAGTTCTCATGACAGCATAATACAAGCTGTTACACAAACTGGAACTTGTTTTGCACACTACTCCCTCCATTCCGAATTACTTGTCTCAAGTATGGATGTATGTACTCCCTCCTTCCATCTATATAGGGCCTAATGCGTTTTTCGAGACTAACTTTGACCAAATATTAGAGCAATAATATATAACATGTAACTTACACAAAGCACACCGTTAAATTCATGTGTGAAAGGAGCTTTCAATGATATAATTTTCACATTATGCATGTCATGTACTATTAATCTTGTCAATAGTCAAAGGCGGTCATAAAAAACGCATTAGGCCCTATATAGGTGGAAGGAGGGAGTAGATGTATTTTAGTTCTAGATACATCCATTTCAACGACGAGTAATTTGGAACGGAGGGAGTAGTTCTCATGACAGCATAATGCAAGCTGTTACACAAACTGGACCTTGTCTTGCACAACAGTTTTCCATGCTTACATTTAAGTTTGTATCAAAAATACCAAATTATAGTACACATAATGGTACTTAGCAGCATGCGGAGACAAAAAAAAAAGTTATGTGAATTCAAATTTAGGAGTGAGTAAAGCAAGGACATGCCAGACTGGTCAGAGCTCAGCAGTTCTCATCTCTGATGCAGTAAGGGCATGAGCACAAGCACAGCTATGAGCCAAACTGCAGGCAGGAGCAGAGCAGCTAGTTCAAAGTAGCTGCCAAGTCCATTTTCTTCTAAAATGTCATCATTGAGCCTTGGCCTCAAGTCTGAACATCAGATCTCGATTACCAATCTCATTTTTGGATAAATTGTCTTCTCAAAATTGATACCTAACTAAGAACTACCCTAGTGCCCCGCGTTCCTGATTAACCACACACAGTTGACAGCCCCTAAAATCACATGAACGAACCTTACAAGAAAGCAACATAAACCTACAGAGTCAAAGCAAACTAGGAAAAATGAACAGAACTCAAAACCAGATTATTGGCTACAATAGGAGTAATCTACTATCTTGCCTACGCTTTGTTTGGATGTAGATATTCAAGGGCTTGGCATTGAATTGCTCCAATGCCAAATATCTCAGAACATTGATATTGATCTTCAATGTCAATCCTAGTGTTTGGATGTTCATATATTTGCTGCTTGGAATTCAAGGGGAGTACCAATTCCAATTGTTGTTTGGATGGACAAAGTGTGAAATTTAAAAAAATAAATAACATTCACACTTTCTCAGTCACGATATGTTGCGTTGAATGGATTGGCATTCCGCCGAGCAGCTCATGGGTGTGGCAAACCTTACTCCATGGCGGACAGCTGCAGGTGGTGGCCCGTGGCTGAGATGGAAGGAGGCTATGGTTGGATAGGATGTCTGGTACTCTGGTCGTAGTGCAGGAGCAGCTCGAGCTACCACAGAAGCTCCTGCATGCTCCGCTCCGAGCCGCTGGCTTCTTCGCTCGCTATTGCCTCGCATGGATCAATTCTGCCAGGAAGGTTATGACGTCCGCGGGAGAGATGGGAAACCAGCGGCGCCAGTCAGCGGGGACAAGGAGCCGGTGGACACTGTGGTGAGTAACCAAAGGCGGCGGTTCACGGTAAACTCCAGCAGTGACTGATGGTGGTTGTCAATGGGGCGTCAGGGATGGCTAGAGGATTGTTGTCGCCGGCCTGGGAGGCAGCACCAGTGGCCTGGGCGACACGCCAGCCTTGATTTTGTGGAGAAATCATCGGTCGGGGAGGCGGCGACAGTGGCGGGTCAACCTTGCAGGGAAGGCTAAGTTTGTGCAGGTGAAGAAGATGACGAACCGCTCCCAATTCAACCAAATACAGAGGTCGGAGCTCCAAATTTGCGGAGGGTTCACGTGAGTGCTCGGGTTGGCCTCTCGATATTGGGCCCGAATTCCACAGGTGAATGTCCAGGCCATCTAAACAGTGCCATTCGGGTAAGACTAAGACAATGCCAATACCGAATTCCTGCTCCGGCTATATACATCCAAACGGGCCGTTACTGATTTTCTATCAGGTATTGCAATTATCAAAGAAAGAAACATGCAAAAACAGAGGGGCCAATGATGTGAAAACATTCCATCTTTTTTAATAGGTGCACAGAGAAAATTGTATGGATCATTTCATGATCTTGAAGGCTCCCACCTGCATTAAACTAGGAACATGACGATTTCCCAATACTCGGCACACCAAGCTTTTCTTCTTGAAGTTTTGGGTGTGCAGCAAATTAAAGATACAGGTGGTTTAGTTGTATTTAATTTGCAAGCTATTTAGGTTGGAAAAAAGTAAAGATGCAAGTACAGTATTTTCTGCAAGAAAATTGAAGGCATACAATGTAAAATTTGATTTGTAACTCAGGGAACCTTGAGCACCAAAGTGACATTTATTGACTAGTTCTTGCACACAACAAGAGTGGCATATAACATTCATTGTACACGTCTGACATAGAAGAGGTACACAATGGAAGGACAATACACAAATATTGCAGAATCAACAACAAACAGGATTAACTGCAGTAGGTTCACTAAGGAAATATACGTGACTACCATGCAAATTAACAAGGCTATTGGCATACATTGGAAAAGCAGAAACAAAATGGAATGAAGAGTAAAACAGGACATAGTTACCTTCTGGCTCCAGTCACACCTAAGTACTTGGAGAGCTGGGAGGGAATAAATGCACGATTAGTAGAGAGGCTCGCAGACGCCATGTTGCCATCATTCTCAATGCTGTTCCTATGTACTTTCTTGTATCTAAAAGCTGATCTCAGAGTCTTCTTCAACATGTCAATCGCAATGACCCATGTCACATTGGCGTCACCGAAACACCCATTGCTCAGCACACAAAAGATGACATCCGGGTTCGTCATGCTCACAACAGGGAATGTTGGCGGGACACGGAGTAGATCACCATACCCCTGCAGGGACCAGAGCTCGGTATCTTGGATGGTACTTTCTTTCTCCCATGTCATGCCATGTTCCCTAAGCCTCCAAACTTTGATTGCAAATGAAGAAGCAGCAGCTGACTGGCTGCCTGAAAGAAAGACGGTTCTGGTGACAACCTCAACAAACTTCATGGTTCCGCCATTGGTAACACACACGCTCCTAAAAGCTGATGGGCACCCTCGTCCAGTTTCACTATCATAAGGATCACCAACAGGGTTCATTAGAGGAAGCCGGACATACAAGAGCCGCGGGCATTTGCTGAGAATATCCAAAAACAGGATTCCGCGGAAATAATCTATGTAGCACAGGGAAACTCCATGGGGGACAACGACATCAGTGTGCCACCAAATTAATTCCCCGCCTTGCCCCTTCTTATGGCATATACGTGGTTTGCTGGCTTTCCAGTCCTCCCCAGGGCTGCATGACCGGAAAATACAAAGCCCGGCTACCACCGGAGTATCATCATGGTGGGAGGCATCATCGTGTTTCGGCAAAATCATTAGGTCTGCCACCACAAATTCTTCGCTTTCAGCATCACATAAAAAACCAATGTTACCAAGGGTGACCATATGATCTAACCCACCAGAGCGGAGACAACTGTTTGAGAATCTGAGTTTGCAATCGGGTAGACGCAAGAGCGAGGGCGGCCCAGTGGAGTGGACCGTGTAGACGAAGAAGTCTACCCGGGTGTTGCTGAGAGTGAGCCTCAGAAGAATCGAATTGCCATTGGCGGCCAGGACAAGGGGTTCCCGTCCGTAAAATCCATCCCAGCGATCTTCTCCTCTCCCTGCCCCCGACGACGACGACGAACCCTTTGTAAACCGGCGAGGCGTCCAGTTAACATAGAGGCGAGAAGCACCTGGCGGTGGCACGGCGCGGAAGAAGACGTCTATGGGATCGCCCATGGATGTCTCCGCGTGCGCCTTGGTCGCGTGAAAGTCTTCCATAGGGTAATCGGAATCGATGGTGGGTACGGGGTAGTTCAGGCGGGTGTGTGGATCTAGCATCACCCAGTCGGGGTAGCGGAAGGAGGCCTTGGCTACCGACGGCGCGTCGGGGCTATCCATGAGGTGGCGGCGGTGCATCAATTTGTGATGGGGTGGCGGCGGACAGGTTGGGATTGCTGGGAAGGGGACGAGACCGATGCTTTCTTTTGATGAAGGGTGGGGAGGCGAGACCGATGGGAATTGGGAAGTACAAAGCCGATGTACTTCGTAGCAGGCCCGGGGCGCTGCTATATGTGGCCCGTTTTAGGCCCGGGACGAGACCGAGGCGAATCCTAAACGGGGGGGCGCTGCTATATGTGGCCCGTTTTAGGCCCGGGACGAGACCGAGGCGAATCCTAAACGGGGGAGCAACCAGGGAGCTCCCAACCGGCGCCTTAAGCGCCGGTTCAGGAAGCTGGCTGTCAGGGGCCGGCCCACGATACGCCTTATCTATACCACAAAAAAATCCCCTAAAAAGGGTTGCTCTCGAAAGGATTCGACCAAGCTACGTCCAGTACATGTTCCATGTCACCTAACCACTAGGGCAACCAATCGATCATAGATATTTTCAGCGCGAATGAGTTAAGAATAATTACAGTCGCACTATTTATTGTGCACAGATTTGGGCAAACGTAATTTTTTGGGGAAGAAATTTGAAAGTTCGCAGATTTCAAAATAAATCACGAATTGAAAAGGTTAGCGAACTAAAAAAATCATTAATTTTAAAAAAGTTCACAAATTTCAAAAAAGTTCATCAATTTTGAAAATAGTTCATCAATATCAAAAGTTCGTTCAAATTTTTAAAAAAGTTCAACGAATTTGAAAAATGTTCACCGAATTTGAAAAAAAGTTCATCAAAGTTGGAAAAAGTTCATCAAATTTGAAAAAAGTTCATCGAAATCTAGAAAAAGTTCATCAAATTTGAAAAAAGTTCATGGAATTTTAAAAACATGAATTTTTCATTTTTTGTTCATGATTTCAAAATGTGTTCATGGTTTTCAAATTTATTCACTTTTTCAAATTTTGTTCACAATTTTAAATTGTTCAGAGTACATAAAAAAATGTTCAATGGGTATTTAAATGGTTTTTCATGGCATATCACAAAATTGTTCAATGTGTAGTTAAAAATTGTTCAGATTATATTACAAAAATGTTCAATGTATAAAATTTGTTCATCTTATATCAAAAAAATGTATAAATATGTTTTAAATTATTTCAATGTATATCACAAAAATGTTTGTTGTGTAGTTAAAAATTGTTCATCGTACACCGAAAAAATGTTCAGTGCATATTTGAAAATCGCTCATCGTATATAATTTTTTGTTCATGTTCTCAATAATTGTTCATGTTTTAAAAAATTCATGGAATTTGAAAATTTTCATCGAATTTTAGAAAAAGTTCATCAATTTGATAAAAGTTCATTCAATTTTAAAAATTTCACCAATTTTAAAAATTCGCATTTTTAAGAAAATAAAAAAAATGAGAAAAGAAAAAGGAAAAAGGAAACAGAAAAATAACGCCCAGAAATCCGCAAGCAGTGAAAGCTATTTGGTGGGCTCTCGCGGCCTACGTAAATAAAAGAACGAAAATAAGTACATGGACAGAATTGCTACGGTGGTCTGTTGGTTAGTGCGTTGTTGTTTCAACAGAGAGATTGCGAGTTCGAACCCTCGCAGCATTCGTAATAAGATTTTTGCTGCAGTTTTTAACAGAAAGAAAAAGAAGGAAACGAGCCGGCCCATGGGAAGGGGGTGGGGAGGCGAGACCGATGGGAAGTCGAAAGCCGATGTACTTCGTAACAGGCCCGGGGAAGGAAACGAGACGGCCCATGG